AAGTATTTGCAAATAGGGAAGGGTGGAGGGGGTGAAGGGAGGGCAGGGGAATGGGGAAAAAATAAGAACCAAGATACATCATGTAAAGGTAACAAGATCCCAGTGATGAATGTAACTGTATCGTATACCTAAAATGTACCAATAAACTTAATGAAAAAAAATAAAGCTAAAAACATAAAAAAGAATGTTTACTTAGCATGTACAAGGATGTAGATTCAATCCTCAGCACTGAAAAAAAATTAAAGATGGATAACTGGACATTAAACTCATTTATCCATTTGAAAAAGCATAGTAAGAAACTGCTCTTAATTTCAAATATACATTTCTTGTGCAATCTCACCTGACTTTCCACTGTGGAGGTCTGCACCATCTGGTTCACGTGTTGAAATATATTTTAGTATTTGGTTTCCACAGCTTATAGAATAAAACAGACAAATATACCCATATGATTACAGGGAAAAAAGTTGTTTTTTTTTTTTTACTTAAACATGATTAGAAAAATCTCCTTGATTTTTAACTAAGATCCCTTGCTGGGCTTGGTGGCACACACCTGTAGCCCCAGCACTCAGGAGGCTAAGGTAGGAGGATCTGGGAATTCGAAGCCAGCCTGGGCTACAGAGTGAGTTCAAGGCCAGCCTGAACTATATAGTGAGAACCTGCCTCAAAAAACAAAAAAAAAAAGGGCCGGGGATTTACCTCAGTGATTCTGCCGCCTGCCTCACAAGCGCAAGGTCGCAAGTTCAATCCCCAGTACCAAAAAAATTTTTTTAACCAAGATCCCAACTGCTACACATCTTAATAGTCTACTCTCTTTATAAACTATAATCTCTCTTAAAATTAAATCTCTCTATAAACTAATCTTAATATTCTAATCTCTCTGTAAATCTCTCTATAAAGGACACAAACATCTGTGTGTCCTTGAGGGATGTAACATATTTTTGAAAGTCAACATTGGGATCTGAGGTAAACCTATACTCTTGTCAAACCAGAAATGACTGCTAATACCATATGAACTAAGTACTGTGAACAGGGACTAAAGTAATGTATAATAAAATGATTCTCTATTACTGACATGATATGATAGGTAGAATAATATTTCATTTCAGACAGATCATTTAATTAGAAAATTAATAACACTGAAATAAGAAAAAGTTTATTTCAAATAAACTACTAGATAAAAAAGGAAGATGAGATAGTCTTGATTCATAATCCAGTTATAAGACAAAAAATTCTAATAGTTTATTAAAATAATCTATATTTTGAAACAAAATAATAAAGTTAGGAAACTTACCTGTTACACAGATTGCTATCAGAATTTCTAAGATGCTGATAAAAATCTGGTGTACTGGGAAAATTGCTCAGAGATCTGTGTACAACAACCCTTGGCTTAGTAAGAAAATCAGCAGTGTCAGGAAATTCTATGGGTGACCGATTAGTTAGAGAACCAGCAGACACTAGTCCATGGCTGGGAGAATTCACAGGACTCAGGCTGGGTAAAACACCTTTAAAAATGGAAAGAGGAGACAGATAAATATATATCCATATGTATGCATTCACTGTATACATTGTTTTTTATAAAGAGCATTTTCCTTCAAAAAAAGTATTTGCCGCAAGCGCAAGGACCCGAGTTCGATCCCCGGTACGAAGAAAAAAGAAAAAAGTATTTGAGGGCCGGGGATTTAGCTCAGTGGTGCCACCACCTGTCCTGCAAGTGCAAGGACCCGAGTTTGATCCCTGGTACCAAAAAAAAAAAAAAAAAAAGCATCAACAAAATAGTTGTTATATTTGTCATCAAAAATGACTACTGAGTAAAGAGAATAATAGCACAAAATAGGTAAATATTGATAGCATGACTAAAATGTACATACTGTATGGCATGAATTTTCCTAATTCATGTTGGCCTTTATCTTCCACATTTTTAAAAAGATATTAGCATGATTATTCACATAAGCAAAGTACCTCTACTGAATTTTATTGATTTATTCAGTTCATTCAATTTTATTAAAGAGCTAAAGTTCCTAACAGCATTAAGTTAAAATATAAAATTATATACTAATAACAGATCCCTTTAAAACATATATATATATTCAAATATTTCATGCTCATTGATTCATTCATTCAACAAATATTTGAAAGCTTACTATGTGGTAACAATGTGCTGGTTTTCACAATGCAAAAAAAATATCATCCCTATAACTCAATGAACCTAGAAAATAATGGAAAATAAAAAGAAGTGCTAAAATGCTAAAAAAAAGGGGGGTGGGCAGAGTGCTTCAGGACCAAATAGTATGTCTCTCTAATCCAGTTGATTTTTTCCAGAAAGCTTTGGTAGTTCTTTGAACTAAGGCACTGTGAGTTTACCTGAAGAGAGGTAAGCAGATATAAAACTTTAGTTGTAAATAAAGATTCAAGTAAAGTTTGATTCAGAGAGGAAAGCAAGTAACAGTAATTAAAACCTACAGCATTTTAGTGGTAAAAACTTATGTGTGATGGAATCAACTTGGCCAGGCTGTGTGCCTGGTTATTTGTTCAAACACTAGCCTAGATGCTGCTGTGAAGATGTTTTTAGATGTGTGTAACATCTAAATCAGTAGATTTTGAGTAAAGTAGATTAACTTCCATCATGTGGGTAGGCCTCATCCAATTAACTTAATGTCTTATGAGAAAAGACTGGGGTTTCCAAGGAGAAAGAAATTTTGACTCCAGACAGCATTCAGATTCAAGACTGTAACATCAGCTCCTGTTAGAATTTCCAGTCCTCTGGAAATTCTAGACTGAAATGCCAGACTTTCTAAGTTTCAAAATGGTGAGGGCCAATCTCTTAAAATGAATAAATTCTCTTTCTTTCCATGTTTAATATATATACATGTGTATATATATATATATATACACATATAGATATATTCTTTAACTTTTGCCAGTATGATGATAAACAGAAGGATAATGTTCTTTCTTTTAAAACTTTCTAATTACTAATAAAAGTTAAGCACCTTTTAAGTGAATACGTCATTATACAATCTCTTTTCTGAAGAGTGCTTGTTCAAGTCATGTGCTCCTTTTAATATTGGATTGTTGTGACAGACACACTTGAAATCTGTCTCTTTGATCCCTGCCCCTGACACTGAGTGCAGGAAAGAATTATAACTTGCTTCTTATAAAGGATGATGGGATATTACTCTCATAATTGTGTAAATTATAGTTTCCATCTTGCTAGCAAACTCACTCTAGAGATTCTCCTTGTTGGATTCATGAAACACACACCCTTAGTGAGGAAGACCATGTAACAAAGAATTGTGGGCAGACTATCAGAACTAAGGTGGCTACCAGAAAATAGCCATCAAGAAGGCAGAGCTGGGGCCAGGAGTTATGGTGCATGTCTGGAATCCCAGCACTTGGGAGGCTGAGGCAGGAAGACTACTGTAAGTTCAAGGCCAGCCTGGGCCACAGACTGAGTTCAAGACCAGCCTGGACTACAAAATGAAACCCTGTCTCAAAAACATTAAAAAAAAAAAAAAAGAGCCATCAAGAACCCACAACCAAAAGAAATGAATTTTGATCGCAACTGAGTAACTGAATGTATCTGGAAGCTGATTCACACAATTGTTCTGCATGCAGAATATAAGAGCTGTAGGGTCCGGAAGGCTTCCACCCAGATTTCAAAGAAAAACTTGGGAGGCCAGGTAAGGAGTACCTAAAAGGTAAGTGTCTGAAGGTGTAGAAATGAACCCAAACTGAAGCAGAGACTCTAGGAAATTGGAAATGCCAGGAATGTGGAACATCTGCCAAGGAAAGCTGTACCCTGAGAGTGGAGCCAGCCCAAGAAGAGAAGCCATATGGGCTGCAACCAGCAAGGCCATAGAAATGGGGCCACCTAAGCCCTCTAGGATTCATATCTCACCATGTGCCCCAGATGCTGGACATGGGGCTACAGGACTTAATGTTTGCCTGCTGGGTTTCAGTCTTGTTTTGGTCCAATTCTTTTCTATTTCCCTTTTCAAATAGGAATGCTTAGTCTGTGTTACTGCACCTTGAGATTATATAACTTTGTTGGTTTTTTGTTGTTGTTTCGTTTCAAAGAGGTTCACACCTAGGAGTTTGCCTGGAGTTTCAAGGAGACACTGACTTAGAATTTTGAAAAATGCTGGAACTGCTGAGACTTTGGAGGAGAGATTGTTACATTTCCAGTCACATACAGGATAGTTGAATTATGTTAGAACTATGAATTTGGTATTTATCTTTATTTGGAGATTGTGTTTTTAGGAGATTTATTTGGGTAGCAAGTTGATGAGATGTGATATATGGCAGGATGGAGTGTCAACTTGATTGCCTGTGAGGTCCACCTGGAGGACTGGTAGCACACACTTCTGGATGTTGTCTAGGTGGGACATGTGGAGGCAAGGCCTTAGAGTCTATGGCTGGTCCCTCACCCCTTCCTCTCTGGCACTGCTCCCTGCTCTGCTTCCTGACTACTATGAAAGCAGCTTTACTCTGCCACATGCTTCTACCATGATGTTTGTGCCTTGAGGCCATCAGACCATGGACTAAATCTCCTTGAAATGTGAGCCAAATTAAATCTTTGGGGATGGCAGTGGGGATTAGGTTTCACCATGTGAATTTGGGGGATGTACATTCAAAACATAGCAACCAATAATATACTTTCTATAAAATGTTTATTCTGGATATTTCATATATATAGATTCATATGGCTTTTAGTCTTTTATGACTGGCTTATTTCAGTTTTTCAAGATTCCTTTATGTTGTAGCATGTATTATTACTTCATTCTACTTCTGTGTCAAGTAATATTCTCTTGTATGGATAAGTAACATTTTGTTTAGTCATTCATTGTTGTCTGTCTTTTTATTAACCGACATCCTAGAGCAGTGATGGCAAACCTTCTAGAGCATTCAATGATACAAACAGCCTGCTGTGGCACGCATGCCATAGGTTCACCACCACTGTCCTAGAGGATATGAAGTAGTAATTCATTGTGGTCGTGATTTACATTTCCCTATCAATGACTGCTGAACATTTTTATATTATAGGTTGTTTGTATATAATTTTTGAAGAATCAATTCAGATCTTTTGCCCATTATTTGACTGGCTCATTTGATTTTTATTATTGAGATTTCTTTATATATTCTAGACGCAAGTCTATTTCAAGTATATGATTTGCCAATATCTTTTCCCACCCTGTGAACTGTCTTTTCACTTACTTGTGTCTGTTGAAATACAAATTTTTACATCATGGATCATGCTTTTGATATCATTTTTTAAGAACAATTTACTAAAAAAATCAAAGTAACAAGTATTTTCTCCCATATTTTCTGCTACAAGTTTTGTAATTTAAATTTTCTCCACATAGGATTGATTTTAACATACAGTATTTGGCTTCTAGTTCAATTTCCTAGTACAGGAAGTGAAATGGACAACTTTTTTGTAATATGTACCATTTATTGTATGTATATATTTAAGGTCTACAACATGATAGACAGTAAGGTTGTTTCTGTATCTTGGCTATTATCAATAATGCTGTAATGAATATGAGGGGATATATAGGGTACTGATTTCATATCTTTTGGATATATATCCAGAAGAGGGATAATTCTAAACTTTTTGAGGAAGCTACACACTGTTTTCCACAATGGCTGCACCAATCTGCATTCCAAACAGAGTATAAAAGTTCCTTATCTGCACACCCTAACCAACACTTATCTTTTATGGCTTTAACTGCTATATTTGAATTTGTAATGCATTTCTGAGTTAACTTTTTAGTATGGTAAGAGGTAGGATTCCAAATTAATTCTTTTGCACATGTATATTGACGTCTCCCAGCACCATTTGTTGAAAACATTATTCATTTCCCCAGTGAATTATCTTGGCATCTTTATTGGAAATAACTTGACCATAAATATAAAGGCTTATTTCTGAATATCAATTCTATTCCACTGAATTGGAATATACTTATGACAGTACCATATTCTCTTGGCTGTCACAGCATGGTAAAATAGGAAGCGTGAGTCTTCCTATTTCTTTTTCTTTTTTATTAAAAAATTATTTTGGTATTCTGGGACCCTTGCATTTCCATTTGAATTTTAGGATAAGACTGTCAATTTCTACAAATTTTGGTAAGGACTGTGTTGGATAGGAAATGCTGCCATCTTAATAATAGTAAGCTTTCTGACCCATGAACATGGGATGTCTTTACATAGCTCTTCTTTAATCTATTATCTTGCTATTTATTTCCTAGTCATCCTTTCAGTTTTTGTTTATTTTTCTTTACTTGGATTCTTTGGGATTATTTAATATTTTATCATGCCATTCTGCCTCTTATATTAGCTTTTTAGTTACACCCTTTTCTATTATCCTTTTAATTGTAATTCTGTACATTACACCATGCATCTTTGAAGCATTACTCTCTTCTAAATTAGAACTTTTTACTACTTTTCAATCACTACTAGTACTCTACAACAAGTTTAGGTCCATTTACCCCTCCCCTACCCCTTATGCTACTGTTACTATATATTTGACTTCTGTATATATTATAAAATACTACAACGCAATTATTTTTGTTGTTTTCACTCCTTAATATTTCTATATACTCAACCACTAATTTAAGCTTACCAGTGTTTTTCACTTGTTCCTATAGTTCCATGCTTCAATCTGAATTATTTTCCTCATACCTCTTTTCTGAATCTTAATAGCCAAAGGCTACTAGCAAGAAATTAACTCACTTTTTTGTTTTACATTGCAAAAAGTTTCATTTTCCTAGTTTCTTATCTGATTTGGTAAAGACTGTTTCCCAGATGAGTTACAACTGACAAAAACTGTGTACATTTAAGGTGTATATGATGATGATCTGATTTACATATACTGTATACTGCGAAATCGTTATCAAATTAATTAACTAAGTTAATTAACATATCCATCACCACACTTCATCACAATTTTGTGTGTATGTATGCATGTTGAGCATGGTGAAAAAAAAGTTTTTACTTCATTTTATTTTTCCAAAGATATGTCATTAAAGAATTCTATGCTGGCAATTTTTATTCTTTCATCGTTTTAAATATGCCAATGTATAGCCTTTGGCTTCTATAGTTGCTGCTGATAAGTCATTGTATTATTGTTCCTTGGAAAGTAACATTTTTCTGGTTGCTTTTGAAAGTGTTCTCTTTATTTTTATAATTCATGGGTTTCACTGATATACCTAGATATCATTTTCTCAGTATTTAAGTTGTTTGGGATTCACCGAGCTTTATGCAACTGTTGGCTGTTTTATTTTCTTGTAGTTTTAGAAAGTTATTTGGTGTTATTTTATCTCCTTTTGTAGTTTCATTCACACATACGTTAAAACTTTATGTTCCATATGTGTCTTACATTTGTTCTATTAGTTATGCATTATTTCCCTCTCTGTGCTTCAGTTTCGCTATTTTCTTTTTCTCTCTTCAGGTTCACTGTTTTTGTTTTCTGTTGTATCCAATCTATCCTTAAACCATTCAACAACTTTTTAAATTAATCAAATGTATTTCTCAGTTCTAAACTGTCCATCATTTCCTTTCTATATGTTGCAGTTCCCTGATCAAATTATCCATTCATTTTGCCTATTTTACCTTCTATTTTTTTGAAGCATCACTGTTATTTTAAAAGCTGCTAAATCCAACACAAATATGTATATAGATCTCCTTCTAGGGCTTGTTTTTCTCCATCATCAATAAAATTTTTCTGCCTCTTTGCAGTTTATGTTTTATTGTATATAAGACAATTTTGTGATTGTATATATCCTGTTATACCTCATATTAAAATATTCATATTCTCTATTAAATGTTGTATTTGTGAAATATCCTTCCATCTAAAAAGTTCAGTATTCTATTTTCTTTAATTTTAAAAAAATCATACCAACGTGACTTTCCAGAATATAGGCAAGAATTTTTTCTATTCTTGTACTAAGATTTTTTTTCTCAGCAAGTATATTACAGAAGAACCCTCTTCCTTGTTCTCAATCTGTAACCATTTAATAAAATAGTTCTATATTTTACCTCTGAATTCTTTGTGCCTAACAAAGTACCTGGTACATAGTAGATATTCACAATGTATTTACTGGATGAATTAGTAGCCAACCAAAATTGCCTATTCAAGTTAACTTAAAATATATGAAATGGTATTCAAAATTAGATATAAATGCAAAATGAAAAGAATTTATACTGCCATATATTTTGAGAGTACCATATTTAAATCATAAAGAATGATTTCTAAGCTAGATGCAATGGCACATGCATGTGCTGAAGCAGGATGATTCAGCCTGGACAAAATACAGAGACCCTGTATTTAAAAAAAAATAAAAATAAAAATAATTTTAAAAAATATTTTCTTACCAGCTCTTCTCAGACCTACATGGTGAGTCAGTGATACAGAAGATGATCTTTGCTTTGGGATTGTCAGAAGATTTGAACTAAAAGGCCCATTTAGATAGTATCCTTGACTAAAAAGGAAAGTAAACAAAAATTATAACTATCTGATTATATTTCACATATATGACTTAACATAAATTTTAACAGATAAATAGCTATGTTCCAATTCTGTCATCTACTGTTTCAACTGTGACACTATACAGCTCAAACTAAATAAAGTACAACACCTGAGCAATAATAACAAAGAGTGGTTTAATTATCCATTGGAATTTTGCATTAATTCCAATTTAATTAACATAGATGACTGATTAAAGAGAAGTATTAACCCACATAAGAGACCAGTATCTTTCCTGGCTTTCAGAAGAAAAGGTATTAAACCCTTTGTTGTCAGAGAAAATGGTATTTACCTTCAGAAAATTTTAGCTCCTATATTTTGGCAGCCTCATTGAGTTATAGTTTCTGATGGCTTTAATTTGTAGGATTAGGACTATTTTGTTCCAAGTAAATTCTCAACAAATTATAGAATATATTAGTTATCTAGGCCTCTATTAAGAACAGGGTTGAAAGAGTCTTGCTACTCAACCCTAACAACTGTGACTGAGTCCTGGGAACATGCTCATCCTTCCACAAGTAACTCGCTGCTGACCTTCTTTAGCATCCTCTATACCAGAGTGGGGACTGTCCCAGTAATGGCCACCTCCATCAGTTTAAAAGCTGTCCCAGGGGCCCGGGATTTAGCTCAGTGGTTCCGCCGCCTGCCTTGCAAGCGGAAGGATCAGAGTTCGATTCCCAGTACCAAAAAAAAAAAAAAACCCTGTCCCAGTACCCTGTCCTAAACTGATCCTCATTTCCTTAAACTATGTCACTTATTCATGTTCCTAAGGTTCCAGCATACTTTCTATCCAATCTACCTAAATTTTGAGGGCGAGCATGCGAGCATGTTAATTTCTTTTTAAAAGTCAGTTTCATAATTATACCTATTATTACTATTGATGTTGTCCTACACCTAAAATACTTCAACCATTCTTTTCTGATCTTAAAACTATTTCAAACTTTATTCATAGGGGCAAAAGGTGGATCCATTAAGTTTCCTTAAAAGGCTCTGGGGAATGTTCATTTCGGCAGCACATATACTAAAAGGCTCTGGAGATTTTACCTTGAAATGCCAAATTCTTGATGAGGCCTTTTGCCATTACTACGTTCACACCTTGAAGACTGATCAATAGGTGACAATCCTGAAGTTCCTGAGCTCCTTCTCAGCTGTGCAGCTGGTAAACTATTCCTACTACTTAGGCCCTGTTGAATAATTTAACAGTGGTTAAAATTGTTATCTTTGAATATACTGCACATGTAATAATGATGGCACATAAAATATCAATACAAAATGTATTTTAACATGTATAAGAGAAACTGAAAATTTCATTTTGAAAATGTGTTCATTTACTCCCAATTTTACTTTCTATACTATTGTTCTACTTACCTTCCTCCTAGTAAATAATGATTTCTGAACTCCTTACAATTTAAACTAGATTTTTTTTTTTTGTTTATTTGTTTGGTTGGTTTTTGCACGTTTCAAGAGAAAGAAACAATTGGAAATTTAAAAAGTGAATTTCGGGCCAGGGATTTAGCTCAGTGGTTTCGCTGCCTGCTGCGCAAGCACAAGGACCGGAGTTCAATCCCAGGTACCAAAAAATAAATAAATAAATAAAAAGTGAATTTCAAAGACTGACCCTGAAAGTCAACTTCAGAGGACAAGCATAGGATCAGAAATGACCAGCCCTATATCCTATTTTTTTAAAAAACATTTTTAGTATCTAATGGACCCAATGCTTAATCTGGAGAAACTATAGGATTCTAAGTTACCCTCTGAATTAATGATTAAACTAAATATGTTAAGCATTAATATTTTATCCTAATTTTAAAAAATATTCTAAATTAATCCAAATATTCAAAAAGGAATATTCCAATTTGACCACTGTGAATAGGTGTTTCGCTAAAATTTATGTAAGTTTCTGTTCCTTATGAATTTCCACTATCAACAGAAACTGCAATAATCTCAGAGAAGTATATTATACTTTAGCTGTCCCAAGGATATTAATTTTGTAAAGGTCCATGGTTAGTTGATCCTACAGTGAAAAAGTTGTTGCTAACTAAAATTTAGGTTCATATAGTCTTTCTTAGTTCTTAACACACATATAAGATATTTATATTAAACTGTCTATTCTTATTCTCTTTTGCTGACAAATTTTTTTCATAAATGCTATGGTTTTTTCTGAAGTAACATAGGCTTTTTATATGCTTTTTCAAAAGCAGAGACATTTAGATACAGAATTCTAATGAGTTTAAAAAACACAAAGAAAAAGAATAAAAGTTACTTCCTGGTTCTAATATGGCTTACTCATACCAGTAGATTCCAGCACCCAAAGTAAACCTGATTAACTACAATGCTCAGGAAATGAGGTGTTCAGGCATCCTGTTTAATCACTATTACATTTTAAATGTTTCTAAAATGTACCAGTACCCTTTTCTACAGAGTAAATGTAGTAACAAACATAACAGTGCTATCAGTATTATTTTTATGATTAAGATTTTTAAGAATTAACTGTTTTTTAACTATCGTAAGTAACAAATGTGAATGGAAAGATGCAAAGGGACAGCCACATATCAGGTGAAAGCTAACTCAAGAATGTATCACTTACTTCATTCATTTATTGCTATTCCATGAATTCTGGATGCATGTGATTAACTTTTTTCTGATAGAGCACTAAAAAAAGTTGCCTAAGTGCCACTTTTGGAAAGTAGGCTCAGATGAATGCAGACAGTATTATATAAACTACTTTAAAATAAAAGCATCACATAATTACCATTTGGCTTTGTTAATTTTTCAACATTTCTAAACTCTCATACTAAGAACTGACAGACTGAAACTGATCAAAATCCTCCAAAATCTCTATTAGTCTTTTTCTAAGTTCTACATACACTATTACAGTTAACAAAATCAAATGAATTGAATTTCACCAAGTCTTGATTAGTTTCCTTAGTTGTAGAATTAACTGAACTAGAATAATCCATTTCTAGTTTTAATGCTTTTATGATTTTACCTACTGCTAAAGCTATCAATAATAATTCAAATAAAGCAATTAAAAACCTAAACAAAACTGTATAGTAATAAAGAGAAATTAATAGTACATCTATTTTCTTTTTTTTTTTTTTTTGGTACCAGGGATCGAACTTGGGACCTTATGCTTTCGAGGAAGGCGCCGGAACCACTGAGCTAAATCCCTGGCTTAATAGTACATCTAATGGTGGAAAAATCAGTCCCTACTGAGCTACAGCAATTTCCAGTGAGTAAAAAGGGGTCAGGGGAACAGGGTACTACTCAGCCATAAAAAATGAGAAATTAGAGACATTTATAACTAAATGGATGCACACTGAGGTGATACTCTTAAATCAAATAAACAGGACACACGTGTGTAAATAATGAATAGTTTCTCTAGTGTGAGAAACAAAGTGTAAATAAGGACTAAAAGGTATAACAGATACTGTGAAATAGGAAGGGGCAAAGGGGAAGGGGAAGTAGGAAGGGTAGGGGAAAGGAAAGAAGGGAATGGAATTAATATGAGAAAATGGAAAAATGGAAACAAAGTCTGTAAATAGGGAGGTGTGGAGGGGTTGAAGGGAGGGCAGGGGAAGGGGGAAAAATAAGAACCAAGAGAGATTATGTAAAGGTGCAAATTTCTTCACAATGATGAATGTCATTATATTGTGTACCTAAAATGTACCAATAAAATTTAAAAAAATTTAAAAACATATTAAAAAAAGGTGTGAATCATTTTTAAATAATGTTATATAATTCATAATATGAATAGTATAATGATAATTTGTTCTTGTTCAACAATTTCTAAATTGTAAAGAATAGGTTGACATGATTTACTAGTTTTTTCTACAAGCCTAAAATTAATTTGCTTTTTCTGCATTTCTTTATAATAATAGTTGATTTCAAGTTATAACTGCTAATTACAGCACTGTTATTTAAAATAAAAACTGAATACTCATTCAGAATTAGAGTTTAACTGCCTATAAAGTCCCAAACAGCTAAATATAAAAGAAGTTGATCCTTGAAAAGGAAACTGTATGCTACATAACATTTAAAGAAGCAGTTTTAATCGGAAAATATCATTAAATGTGATCAATAAGGCTGGATGGGGCTGGGGATTTAGCTCAGTGGTGCTGCCGCCTGCCTCGCAAGCACAAGAGCCCAAGTTCAATCCCTGGTACTCCCCCCCAAAAAAGGCTGGATGACTACTATATTTTAACCTTGTGAAGTTTTCGATCTCCTCTCTCAGCTGGATCTTCTATTTCAGAGCAGGGATAAAATCCAGGAAATGGTGTGAGAGGATTAATCTTTGGCCTACAGGAACCAGAAAAAGCACCCATCAAGCTGCTGATACTCCGTAGGGAAGAAATGACTTGTGGGGGAAGGCTTGGGTCCACCAGAAGATCTGACACCATATTTCGAGCTTCATTTAGCACTGAAAGATCAACTCCGTTTCCACCTCCAGAATTCTAGACAAGTAAAAATCGTAAAATCATGTATTTGTTAGACAAAAAACTTAATATTAAGCTCTTCTTTAACCTAACAAATTTCCATTCATTTGGACAGGCATAAATAAATGACATATATCAAAAGGAATAATTCTAATTTAAAATTTTCTATATATACTATAATACTGTAGATACTATATGCTTCTTTATTTTTATTAGCTTAGTTCATAGTTAATGGTATTCATTACCGACTTATTAACTTTATAATTAGTATAGAACTGTAACTATATTTAAGGTCTATTATTTGGAAATTTCATTACTTTAATGATGATTTCCTTTCTATTATGTCAAAATTTCTTTTAAATGCATAAAGCATTTCTTTCATTTACCTTACTTATGAGACACTGTAGCACAGCAACAAGGGTTTGTGGCAAAACTGCTTGAGTTTGAAATCTAAATGTTAATCCTAACTCTGTAATCTGAACAACCTGTATTAACACCTGAACATTTTAGTTTCTTCATTTAAAACGGGGATAAGAATGTACTTCTTTAAGGGTTGATATGAGAGTTAAATCTGGTAATACCGGTAAAGTGTGTAAGGCAGTGTGCAGTGAATACATTTAACATGCGATAAGTAGTACTATTACTATCAGTATTATAGAAATGTAAGGTAAAAATACAGAAAAATGGTATTACAGTTCAAAAGCAACAGACACGTTTGATATAAATGATTAGGAGAAACTTATGGAAGATGCGATGTTTGAGCTGGGCCCTAAAAATGCGGTAGGATTATATGTACAAATATTACAAAAAAAAATTTTTATAATAAAACTAAAGAAAAATGACCAGGAAAACTTACTCCACAACAGGGAAAGAGCAAATCAATGTACAAAATGATAAAACAGAGATGTACAGGGAATATGAAAGGCTATGTAAAAGAAAGCAATGAAAAATAAGGTTGGAAAAGCACCAAATGTTTGAGAACACTGAGTTCCAAGCTGAGTTATTTTTTAATTGAGGCTTATAGCAGGCCTAAAAGCAAAAAATAAGGCAAAGAAAGGGAAGAGAAAGTAATGAAAGCCAATGAAATTTTGGAGAGGATAATGGGGGAATGCCTCACTTAGAAGGCACCATTTATATCAAGAATTGACTCTAGGCAAAGAGACTTAGCAAATGCAAAGATTTAGTGGCAGAAGATTATTTTACTTGTTTGAGGAATAACATGGACGCCAGCATATCTGGAACAGAGTAAATGAAGGAGAAAGTAAAGATGAGTCAGAGAGAAATAAGAAGGGAATCAGACTGTGTGAGTTCCTTCTCATCCATGACAAGGTCATCAGCTTTTATTCTAGGGGAGATAAAGTAATGAGCAAGACATGATATAGCTTATACTAAATCAAATTAAACATTTAAATTATTTACTATAACTTAAAAGTTGAACTTACATGCCTATTCTCATTGGCTTATATTTGGCAAAATCCTGATTTTGTACAGAAAGCTAAGATAGTTTTTACATTTTAAATAGTTATTGAAGAAGAAGCAATGGGGAATGGGGGGAGCAAAAGGGAAAGGAAGAAGAGAAGCTGTAGTGGTGGCATGGCTAATACTTTGCATGAAAATGCTAAAATATGTACTCTCTGATCCTTCATTTACAGAAAAAATGTTGATTTGTCTTATCCTACATTTCAAAGATATTAACATGTACTCTTATTGAAATTAATATAATATTAGTGCACATTTTTATTCAGTACTACTATGTTTTTAGTCAGCCCTCTAAGGGAACTGGTATTATTCCCAATTTATAGGTGAAGAAATAGATTCTGAGTGACTTCAGAGACTTGCCTACTTCTTCAGCTAAGAGTAACTAGTTTGTATTAGATCAACTGCCTAGAACATCTAGAAAACACTGAATTAAAATAGTAATAGTGTACATTTCAAAGCAACACAGCAGAACCAATCATCCAGGGCTTGAAAGGACAAGAACTAAGAGCAAACAGAAAAGATAGACATGAACCAGTATTCTGTATTTCTTCCCAACAAGGAGCATGCTGCTGATTCACAACTGGTACAGGGCAGCGAGAATGAGAATCTCAGCAGACTAAGAAACAGAGTAGAGCGCTCTATAATCTCAAAAGGGCTGGGAAAACAAATCCAGAGTTCAGGGCTATAAAGGCAGGGAGGCCAAGCAACATACAATTAGATGAAAATAAAGAAGGAAGCTTAAATTCAGAACCACTTTTAACCCAAAGGCATTTGCAAATTTAGAAACACTGGTTAATTAAGCGATGGAAAAACCAAGTAAAAATTCTCAAAAAATATATATTTTGAAATTAAAATAGCACTTTAAAATTATAACTGGGTCAACTGCATATCATACAGAAAAAAATATATCTTGAGCTATATCTCACACTATATAGAAATAACAATCTTCTATCTGACCCAAACTGAAAAATCAACTCCAAATGCATTACAGATTTAAAGATGGAAACTAAAATAAGAAAACTTCTAAAAGATAACATGGGAGAAAATCTTCATAGCCTTGTAAGCAAGCAAAGTTCTTTTGTTGCTGTTGCTGCTTTATTAGTGTTGTTATATTAGTTAAAGAGAATAATGGGCTTCATTTTGGCATACTATTACATGCATATATCGTACTTTGATTATCTTCACCCTCCATTACTCTTTTCCCCCTTGCCACCTTTTTCCCTCAATTGCTTTCCTCATCTCTATAGTTTTCCTTCTACTTAGCAGTCATCTCTCCTTTTCTCCTCACTAAGTAATTTTTTTAATAGATTCCACCTATTAAAGAAAATATGTAATTATCTGACTTTCTGAGTCTGACTTATTTCAATTAACATAATGGTTTCTAGTTCCATACATTTTACTGCAAATGACATGATTTCATTTTTATGGTGAGTAATATTCCATTCCATATTTTATTTATCCACTCATTGTCAGGTACCTAGGCTATTTCCACAGCTTAGCTCTTTGAACTATGCCACAATAAACATGGCATGCAAATATCACTATAGTATGATGTCTTGAATATACCAGGAGTAGGATAGCTGGGTCAAATGCTATCTACATTTTTAGTTTTTTGAGGAAGCTCTACACTGATTTCCTTAGTGGCTATACTAGTTTATATTCCCACCAACAGTACAGAAGGGTTCCTTTTCCCCACAACTTCACCAGCTTTTGTTTTTTATATTCTTAATGATAGCCATTCTAACTGGGATGAGACAGAATCTTGATGTAGTTTTGATTTTCATTTTCCTAATGGCTAAAGATGTTGAACATTTTTTATATACTTATTGGCCATCTGTACTTCATAAGTAAGAGACAAGGGCCAGATGTACTGACATGCACCTACAGTTCCCATTACTTGGGAGGCTGAGGAAGGAGGATTGTTTCAGCCCAGGGATTAGGGGCCAGCCTGGGCAACTTAAGAGAACCCATTTTTCACTTTTAAAAAATGCAAAAATTTGCTAAACAAAATTAAAATGACTTGATAAATTGGCCCTACATTAAAATATATACTATATATTTATATATGAAAATATACACTATAAATATATAAGACAAATCAAATATATTATATATTATTCATTAAAATAAATAGTATATATTTTCATCAGAATGTACCATAATAAACTTCATACTGGGGCTTTTTAACATGCAATAGATATACAATACACATATGTATACATGTATGTATATTAATGTATATATGTTTATATTCATGTTTAGAATATAAAAAGTACTCCTACTGACTGTTAAGTAAAAGATAATTAGACAAAAGACTTGATTAGAAGATATTTGGGTAGACAATTATATGAAAAGACCCTCACTTCAACCATGAATCATCAGTGAAGTACAAATATTTAAGCTACAAACATGACAGTCACATAGCTACCAAAAGTATGTAAAAGAGATACTACCAAGTGTTGGTGAGGGTGTGGAACAACTGGAACTCTCATACTGTTGATGGTTGAATAAAAATTAATACAAACTCTTTGGAGAATTGTCTGGCACTGTGTATTAAAAGTGAATATTTGGAAAAAGAATTTTTTTAAAAAGTGAATATTTGTAGGCATAAGCTAACAACTCATTCTAAGATAATATACCTAACACATCATTACAACAGCATTACTTGCAATAACCAAAGATGTGAAAATAAAACAATGACTACCTGAATAATGGATGAACTATGATATATTTATTCAATGGAATAGTAAATAGAATATGACTAGATTACTGCTAAATGTAGTAATATTTTTGGGGGGATTCCAGGGTACCGGGGATCAAACTTGGAACCTTGCACTTGTGAGGCAGGCGGTGGAACCACTGAGCTAAATCCCCAGCCCTACATGTAGTAATATTAATCTCACTGATAAATTTTGAAAAGAAAGAAATAAAACAGAAAATAAAAACTTTGGTTTCACTTAGATAAAACTTTAAAAACTAAGTCATAATGGCAGAAATCAGGATGATATAATGCTTGAGGGAAGTTAATGACTAAAAGGAAAGTATATAAGGGCTTTCAGGATACTCGACTCCTCATCCAAATGATGGTTACAGGTGTGTATTCAGCTTGAGAAAATTCACAAATTGTACATTTATGCATTTTGCATTTTATAGACGAATGTTATACTTCAATTAAAAGAAAAGGTCATTAGAAAGGAAAAGAGAAAAAAACAGCAAAAAAAATTAAATAAAAACAAAGGACCAAGGTGCTTAATATGATACACCAGTCTGCCTGACAACAAATGCATGGTCTTGGCCATTACTGCTTATTTAACTTTAGATTTTATCACTAATTTAGATACTTTTTTGATTGGAAACTGAGGATCTTTCTGAATATGAATAATGATGAAGTCCACTATGTAAGTAGGTCGAGGAACCACCCCACCTCATTTTAGGTCGGGTGTAGCCAGCTCCTTGATTTCATCTTACTGCAATGGTTACATTCTCTTGTTCATCAAAATCTAGAGAATACTTCATTCTATGGACTACTGTGGCTATTGCTATTCAAAGGGATGTTCACTTTTCAAAAACTGGTGTTGGGACAACTATTAAAATCAATTTAATAAACATGTATAACATTTCTGTAACATAACTTAATATTTATTAATATTTACTTATCACTGTGAAAAACATCAGGTTTCAAATAGCAGATGAAAATGTACCATGATTTTTTTAGAACAGAAAATATATTTGTAATAGGTAGATCTACAAAGATGTACATCAAAATTAGCACAGTTATAAGAACAGAGCTATAGATTGTTTTCAAGTGATTTTTTTTCTCTTTATATTTCGATTTTCAATTCATCTGATATGCACATCTATTAAATGGTTTAAAATTAATCTTAAAGTATATATTATGTTATGTCACTTATAAAGTTCAAAAATAAGCAAAACTAATCACTAGAAGTCAGGAGAAGAATTACCTTTGGAATACAGGTAATGCTTGGAAAATGGGGCATCGTGCGGCTTCTGGGACATTGGTAATGTTCTATTTCTTCTTAGAGGTACTATTTACACGAGATGTTTAGCTTGTGAAAATTCACTCAGCTATATACTTTTCTGTATGTATGTTATAACTGAAAAAAATTTACAAAAAATGAGTGTTCTTGCTTCCCTAATAAATATATTCTGCCAACTGCTCTGCTATCTCAAATGTGGCCTTAAATCTGTTCATCTCCTTCTGTAGATCAGTGTTCCACATCAGAAAAGAAAAATATTCTCATCTTTAATATAAAAATACTAGTTTATCTAAGCCTAGATTATATTAACATTTTTTAAATGATTACTTGTATAAATCTGATTTCTTATTTTATTTTGCCTTTACATTTAAACAGTATTTTTTTAATCTACCTCAATAAAATTTCTAGTTAACTTATTTCAGTTATAAGAAAATTTTATGACACAGGAATCTTGTAAATGTAACTTTAAGGTCAAATTTTCACTACAGATATTAGTTATTAGTGATATTTTATTTACCTGGTAATGAGGCTTATACCACTGCTTTAAGTCCCAATCCCAAAGAATCATCTGGAAAAAAAAATCCATTTGGTTAAAATAAAAAAATAAATAAATATATATAAAGACAAATGGCAGTTTTTCAATTATAGATACCTAAAACAGCTTTACTTTGTAAGGGTATCAGGGAGGTAAGAATAAAAATGATCTTTAGACAGAATATTTCATTACTTTATACAAATTATAATTGAAAAATCCAAATAAAAAATAAGATAAAGTCACTAAAAATGCTATATAACTTTCAAATGTTTATTAACACAAAAGGAAAATCCAAAATCACATCTAATCACTAAAAATACAAGAAAAATTAAATATCATCAACCCCCCTTTCTAAAGGCTTATTATTCATCATCTTAAAATCAGTGTCAATTGGTGGAGCTATTTCCTTACCAATAAGACCCTTCAGTGAAAAGTATTTTAAAAGCTGTGGTCTTTGGGGCTACATTATGTATAAAGGAATGGATTTTTAAAAAGCAACATATACATCATTTAATATGCAGATAATTAGTGACTGCAGGCCTGTTTATCTCCTTTCTGGAATATCAAAGATAGTATCTTAGCCCTAGAGTAGTTCTGTCCTGCCTTCTTCCTGGGAGGCTTTCAGGGCTGCTTCCCTACACAGTATAAGTAGTCATTGTATTCAAGGAGATAAAATTAACTTTAATAAGCTACAAGTGCCACTCATCACTAATCATAAATTTCAAAATTATTCATGTAAGAATACATCTCTTCCCTTTTGCTTAAGTAATTCATTTTGATTGCTATTTTCTATCTTTCAATCCTAGCTTTGAATATAAGCCTATTTAATTTGTAATATAATCATATAATTTCCATATACAGTACTATCTGTGTTGTTTCTTGCCCTTGGTCTTAAGTGTTTTGGTTGTAAAACTCTTAAAAATGTTACCTATTTTGTCATTTGTCTGGTGTTTTATCAAGAGTTGGCAAAACTATTTCTGTAAAGGGACAGAGTATTTTAGGCATTGCAAGTCATATAAGGTCTTTATGAAATATTGTTTTTTATTTTTCTCTTATAACTCTTTTAAACATATAAAAAGCATTTTTAGTATGAGGGTCATACAAAAATAGACTCTTGGCAAGAACTTGTCAGTGGACCCTATTTTCCAAGTTATATTTTACACCCACCATTCATCATTCAAAAATGTGTCAATTATTATCACCATCTTCTGGTCAACATCCTTACAAAAGATAATCTCTTTCTTGCCAATGAAAAGAAATCTATTTTTCCCAAAAAATATCCAGACAATACTATACCTACTTAGAAAATTCATGGATCAATGCCCACAAAATGTTACAGTGTAGTTATACACAAAGTATATCATATATTTTAATAGATTCATTAAATTTACTCAGTATTTTATATGGCCCTATGTACGGCCCTGACATTATTATTTTAGGTTGTAGTAGCATACAATTGAGATTCTGTAGTTACTAATTAATGCAGCTTAAGATGTTAATAGCTTCCTAAAAACTCAAATTAATAACCTAAAATTCCTAAGAGTCTTTTATACTTGGTATTATTATAATCCATTTACTCCAAGCTATGCTTGTACAACTGACTTTTAGATTCAAGTGCAATATTTTATTTGTCCTTATTTTAGCCTGTCAAAGTTTCTTTGGAGATTGAGAATTTCAACTAGTTTATTCACCATTCCTCCCATCATCATGACATGTGTAAGTTTGATATTTTCTCATGTTGAATAATGAAAGTTCAACATCTTATGATGACTAAAAATTACCCATGAAATTGGCATGAATTCACTAATGTGCATTCTGAATACAAATTTGCCAAATTGCACTATTATGATCCATACTTCTATATTTCTTCCACAAGGATACCCTTAAATAATGCCTATACCTCACTTCCCCAATTCGTTAGCCTAAACAGAAGTTGTTTTTTGATAAGTCAACTATAATTCCATTAGGACAGTTTAACATTCAAGTATGTCTTTTCTCCCCACTTCATTTACCTACATGATTAAGTTGACATTACCTTTTCAAATATTTGCACCCTACTGCCAAAAGCAGTATCTGTATCCATATCTAGCATTCCCAATGAGGGTACCATCACTCCAAGTGGGTGAAAATTGGTTCTTGGGACCAAAATATCTTAAAAATTAAAATAGCATGTGGCCCTCCAAAGGCCATAGTACATAAAAGATATACTGTACATAAAAAGATAACATTGTGGAAAAGGGGTAATTAGGAAAAGGACGTCTAAAGAGGTTGCTGGACGAGGGATGAGGGTTATAAAGAAAAGCAGGTTGAGAAATACACACATAAAGTAATCCTGCTGCTTGCTTATAAAAGCAACCCTATCTTAGCTTACATTCTGCGAATGTTCCCTAATGCACTTAAGACAATTCCAAGGCTGCCTATGCAGAAGCTGCTACTAACTTGATAAGTGATACTTTTCTATTTCAATTGTAATCTTGAAAGTACATAAAACTTTACCATATGCAATGCTTTTACTCTCCAAATACATTTAGATCTCTCTACTGTAGCATTTTCTATTGTAGACCACCATGCTCAATAAATTAGCCCTCCTGGATTTTATTATCCTGATTTTTCTCCCATTTGTACTTGCTAGGTTGGCTTTGAATCAGCTCTTAAGGTATAGGTCACCCTTATTTGCAGCCACATTCCCTAGGATCAAAATTTTATTATCAAAAAGCTGCAGATCTTGGGCTGAAATTTGGTTTAAGAATTTAAAACAATCCAGGTGTAATGACTAACACCTGTAATCACAGCTCTCAGGGACTTGAGGCAGGAGGATGGTCATAAGTTCAAGGCCAGCCTGAACTACACAGCCACACCCTGTCTCAAAAAACCAAACAAAAAGGATTAAAAACAGATTCAGTAAACACTACAATGAGCTGCCAGACTGTGTATCTCAACAACTAGGATGTTAGTGATTTTTTTTTAAATTTCTGCATAATTATAAAATAAATGTCCCAAGAATTCTAGAGTTAGGTATGTATCTTAGAGAAGTTTCATTCAAAATGTGGTTCATAAAATGACAAATATACTAATAAAGAGTAAAGGTTTAGATCACATGTCACTAAAATGGACTAGAGGTGCCTGGCAAGATTTCTTTCCCCCAAAAAAGGACTAAAACTATGAAAAGCAATTATTTTTCCACTGAAGTGTTTGAGATTGAGTATTGGAACATGGTCGAAATTTTAGAGCATAAATACTCAAGTAGGACTTATAAAGAAGGTAACTGAAAGTAACTAAGCATACAACATCTACTATCTCATCTCTCCAGTCAAGATCAACCCTGAACAAAGAGAGTTCACATACAAAGGGGAAAGATAAGCAAAAAGCCCCAACAGATTCCTCCCGGAGAAGCCTTTAGCCCTCAGTCCTTGAGCTCAGTTTGGGGAGCTGGCTGAAGAATCCTTGCAGATGCGCTGTCCCAGAGAAAGATCATAAACCATATTGTTCTGCTTAAGCTACTGCTGCAGCACCATCTGGAGACTCTGTTGTCTTAGGATCCTGAGAAGCTGCCAGGGAGTCACCCCCAAAACTTTGGCCATTCCTGTGAACCAGTAAGGAGTCCCACCATCTAAAGTATAGGAAGTCACCCAGCAGTACCTTCCACCATCCTGCAGGCCTACAAAGTAAGTTGGAGGCCCTGTCCAGCAATCTACAGCTAGGAAGCAACAGCTAGGCAGCTCCTTTCACCATCCTAGGCCTGAAGAAGCATTAGACAGCCTTCACTAAGTGGTTCAGCCTGCCAATGACCCCTAGAAGCTGCCAGGCAGCCCTGGCTGCCCTCTGGCAAGTCCAAGAAGCAGCATGTTACACCTACCTACCCTTCTACAGCCCCAGGAAGCAACAGGTAGCCTGACTTGAATGGTTTGTCATGCCAAAGCCTGGAGAAGTAGATGGGCAGCACCACGCATGCACCATTGCCCCAGGAGGCAGCCAAGCAGACCTCCATGAGCAACTATAATTCCTAGGTCCCTTGAAAGGACCCACACAGTCCTTGGACTGATAAGCATTCCATCTAGACCCACTAGTGCAGCCTAACTCCCAAGTAACCCCCAGGCACTGACAGGAACTCCAACCTCCCTAACATACATGCTATGATGTGCCTTTGTAGGCTGATTAGAGTGGCCCTACTGCCATATAACTTGCCACAAGCACCACATATCCACAGCCATGTGTGCTATAGCCAGAGCCACTAGCAAAGCCACCGGTCTAAGAGAGTTGCATCCCAGCTAGTGAATACCACAAACCCTTGCAGTTTAGTTCACTGAGACACATACAGCCATGACCAATATTAATTATAGCTGAATAAGCTATACAGACACTACTGCACCCATCCTGGAACCAAACCCAACACAGTCCACCCCACCAACACCCTAGGATACATATACACGACAAAAATCTTTTACTATCTAAAATTGGGAGAAGCAACTGACATGCTATATAGGCAAACAGCAACATGGGAATACAAAAAGCACTGAAAAGCGAGGTAATGTGATGTCTCCACAGGAACCCAAAGGTCTCTAATAACAGATGCCAGAGAAAAGGAAATTGTTCCAAAAAAAGTATCTAGTAATAAATTTAACCAAGGAAGTGAATGTCTACAATAAAAATTATAAAACATTGAAGAGAATACAAAAATGGACCCATATCCCGTGTTCACAGATTAGAATTACTACTATTAAAACGTCCATAATACCCAAAGCAACATACAGATCCAATGAAATCGCCATCAAAATACCAATAATATTCTTCACAGAAAACAGAAAACAATAATCCTAAAATTTGTATGGACTCACAAAAGACTCCAAATAACTAAAGATATCCTCAGAACCTTGCTCTTGCCAAGCAGGCAGGGCACCACTAAGCTAAATCCCAGGCCCTGAAGATACCTTAAAGAAAAATAAAACAACAAAAAGCTGGAAGCATCAAAATACCTGACTGTGAAACTATATTAAACAACTGGTATTAAAACAATGACATATACCAATGGGATA